TAATCATGTCTTGTTAAATATTGATGAATTTTATCGAAATTAATTCTAAATGTTTGATATTCAGCTTTATTTGTAACACCACCAGTCCTAGCAGTTCTTTCTGACAAAGTTCTTAAATGATCAATTGAATATCTTGGTTGCTCCGTGGTAGTTTGATACCTTTCAATTAATTGTTCCTTAACTTTCTTCCAACTCCATTCACCAGTACCCCAACCATCCATTTCACGTATTTCCTCCTTCAATTCTTCTCCAACAACAAAGCTAGTAACTTGTCTAACCATATCAAGTTCTGAGGCGCCATTTGCTTCAGCTTGACTATGATAATTAATGATCAACTTCTTAACATTCCTTTCAACTTCAAATCTAATACTTGAATCAGTATTATCAATTCTACGTGGTTTAATATGACTTCTAGCCTCCTCATTCCTTTCTTCACTACTAACATCTCCATTACTAGTTGAATCATCATCTGAAGAACTTGAAGAACTTGAATAATCTCCTCCATCATCTTCTTTAATAATTTTCTTAATAACCTTCTTGCCTTTACTCTTTTTCACGACTTTTACCACTTCTTTTTCCTTCTCCTTCTTCTCTCTTTCTTCCTTAATTCTATTATTAGTAATAATGTCTGCCACTTCTTTTTCTCTTTGTAAATAATATTGTTGTTGATTATAGAATTGTTGTTGCCAATCCACGTCTTCCTCATGATCAGAGGGTAATAATGGTTCCTGTTCCCTGAATCCAGTAAAGGCTGAAGGTGGAATTGGATCCTCAGAAGCAGGTGGTTCTTCACGTTGTTTTCCATGAATAGTTGATCCAGAGGAAGGTCCTGGAGGTGGTGGTGGTGGTAATATGTTAATAGAAGTAGAAACATCTGGAACATAAACTCTGCTTCCAGAAATTCGTGGAGTTCTTTTATAATGAGATGTTGGTGGTAATTCTAATTCCTCATCTCCATCATCCGCCACATCTTGATTATGCATTTGAATAACTGAAGACATAGCTTCTTTATATAATAAATTCTTTAAATAAGAACTAATTTTGATATACTTTTAAATGAGAATGAAAGATAATGTTTATGATTGATTTGAATAATTTTAATTTTAAAGATCTTCTGTTGATAACCACGTGAATAATTTTTATTGAATCTTGATGTAATATAATATAATTTGCTTGTTGATAATGATTAAAAGAGAAATTGATTTAATTATAAGTTGATTTTAATTTGTCAAGCCCGGGCAGAGTCACCAATATGTAGAACTTATAACCCAACAAGGGTTATACAGAGCTGGAAGAGGATAATCTACTAATAAAATGACTAGTAGAAGTTGTCTAAGGACTGCTCTTCTAAAACAACACAATCAGAAAGAGCTCTGTTGTATTGAGTACTGATAAGGCACCAGAGAAATATAACTTCACACGTAATTTTAACTTCAAAAGCACACTTTGTATTACTATCAACACTGCTATAGTGTTATTCCCAATTGATAACTGAAAAAAAATAAGCAATATCTGATTGATATTATTCCCAATAAGTCTTTATGACTATAAAACTAAAGTAAATTTCTCTTTATAACTGTAATAAAGGGCGTATTTAAGTGAACAGGTACTATTAAAATAAGTTTATGATGATAAACAAAATAATAATGGCGTAAATGATAAAGAAAAAAAGGGGAACAACAGTCCCAAAACCCTCTCAAAGTATATATAACAATGTACTAGAACTTTTACAATGGTCAACAGCCTCAAAACCAATCAAATCCGCCCAAAATTCCCTAAAAACCCTATGATGACGCAATGTAATGGTTTTGTTACTAATAAATGATGTAATTTTCACAGCTAAAAGTGATCAATGACGCAATAATATGATGTACAGCACTTCTTATGATGAATACAGGTGATTTTTTCCTTGTAAACTAGCTGAAAACCAATTTTTGAGATTACGAATTTTTTCAGATGTGCTCCAATTTTTGATTACTAAAGTGCATCTTGTAGCCCACGTGTTACTGATCATTTCTGACACCTACATGACCTACTTCTGATGAGTGATGAGTAAGATATTGAGTTGTGAAGTTAAGGTTTTTAGTGTTACATATGACTTGTGACTGTAAATTCGAGATTCACACCAATTCTTTATTTGCCTTATAACTTTTTACACACACCTCCGTTACTAATGATTTAAAGTTTGTACATTATGTAATCCACTCTTCTGCGTTGAATGAGCCATCTACCAACCTATTCTGACGTCATTTGACATATGTAATTAGCTGAAAACCTCCATTTTCCACGAATTTCACCCATTTTCTTCACTTTTCACAGCTACTACTATCTTTTTCTTGCTCATGTAATATGACATCATCATCTATAGCCTTAAAAATCCCGGAAAATCCTCTTGGCAACCTTAAATTCCATCACTACCACTATTACACAACCAAACTACACGTGTACCTCTTGTTTACCAACTTTGAAAAAGTGCTTTTTTCCTAATAACTTCTGTTTCTACTTATCAACCTTGAAGATTAAAATTGTCATAGTATCATATAATGTTGTTCTTTCATATTCTAACCTCATAATACCCATAACTCTAATATTACTACCCTAAAAACCATTTTCCAACCTTTATACCTATAATTTCGAATTTTTCTTATGTTTTTCTTTCTTTCTTTTTGTAATAAATTTGTAAGTAAACTATAATGATCTTAATATATAATGTGAAATAAAATGATGTAATGTTGACCTAATGACCAATACATAAGCCTACAAGAGCTTCAATTGATCAAAAACCTCCATTTCGAATTTTCTTTCCTGCTGAATCCTGCTAATAAACTGGTAAACTGGTAATTGTGAATTTTTTAATTGATCCCATAAATTGATCACCACACCGTATGTAAGTCCGAGATCCTTTCAAACCCACCCTGACGCAGATACAAAATGATATCCCTGCTTCTTTCTCCTACATATCCATTGCCTTCGACGACCATGGCGACCTTGTCAGTCGTCGGCCTGTTGTACCGCCTGGGATCCCTGTTTCCGGGCAGCATAGTACGGATACGCAGAGCAGCGGTTGGGTTATTCGCAATGATTTCACCCGCTCTCCGAAAGACTTGTGCATAGGGGTTGAACCGGTCGAAAAAGCACTGGAAAGCCTCCAAAATCCGTGTGTTAAGGTCCCTCCCCAACATCCTGGCACGACGCTGCGCTTCAGTCGTACCACCTTCTCCTATCACATATATTTGCGCAAAACCGGGCTCTGCCTCCGTCATTGGCAAGAGGCCTCCAATCCGGTGCGACAACTCCCCCTGGATTCGAAATGTGTTGATCCCATAAGGCCCATCAACGGACCTGTCGATCCTTGCCCCGAGAGAGGTAAAGGATAGCGCGTTGTTATAAGATCTGATTAGATCACGGAAGTCTCGAGAGGCTAAGGTACAAACAAAGATTAGCAAATAATTGAACGTCGAAAGATGCACTAAGCTAACTTACCCTTGTCACCGGAGGTGAGGAGGTGTTCTAAGAACCTTGGCACAGCACGTGATCCAGCAAATTGTACGGGTAAAGTCACACCTCCCTTATGGCAACATTCTAAGTAGGCATACGGCTTTGATTTTGTTGTACCCTTCGGACGTTCCGAAACCCAATGTAACGCACGACAACCCTCACACTCGTCATTACACTACACCAAATGTAATCTTTACCGGGCGGTAAAGAAAAGTACTGACATAGAAAAGTCCTGAGGCAACAGGAAGAGAGCTAAAAATCTGAAAAAATATGCACCTTGTTCCTAGATGTTGGGGCGTCATGATGAGTATTTTTTTGTGTTTTACACACGGATATTGGTTAATGTACTAACAATAAAGGCTGAGAATCATCAAAAACCCACCTGTAACAATACCTGAAATTTGGCCCTTGATTTTGAAGACAGGATTTTGGAATCTTCAAACATCAATAGCTTTTGCACTCATTGAAAAGGTGAGCCTTTCCTTTACATTTTTCATTGAGACATCACATCTGTAGCTGGTCTACAAAAGATCCTACAGAGCTATTCATGCAGAACTGTTTGAACATATG